AAAAAAAAGAAGAAAAAGAAAAAATGTATATACGAATGAAGTCTGTTTTGCCCTAATCTCATCAGTTGAGCAACACAGCACCAAGAGGCGACATCAAAGCAAAGAGGCGACGGTGACCCAGCCATTTCCTTCGGGCGACGACAACGCAAGGAGTTCCGGTGAGTCTTCTTCCTCTTCTTCTTCTTCGTGTTCTTCTTGGCCTTCTTCTTCGCTGTTTCATCACCCTCGTCTTCTCTCATCTTCTTCGTTTCTTCTTTTTTATCTCATTTTTTTTTAGCAGAGATCAGCAAGCATCTATCAGCAAGCATCTATTTTCGTCCTCTGCATATCAGCCATACCTAGCAACCAAGCAACTGGTCAGAATCTCTTCATCTTTATTTTTTTTGTTTTTTTTTCTTATTTCTTCTTTCTTCTTCAGAGAGGAATAATCTGATGTTGATGTAGAACCAAAAAAAAATTAGAGAGGTATAGAACCAAGTTATTCCATTATATTTAGAACAAGAAAAAAAAATTAGATCAAAAAAATTAATAAATTAGAACACAAAAATTGATAAGTTATTCAATCATATTTAGAACAAAAAAAAATTAGATCAAAAAAATTAATAAATTAGAACACAAAAATTAATAATCAATCATACTTACATAATGTTAATAATCAAAAAAATTAATTAGAACAAAATTATCCCTCAATAGAAGAATGTTAATCAAAAAAATTAATTAGAAGTTTAAAACAAAGTTATTCCTCAACAAAATGTTAATAATCACAAATATTATTTTTAATAATCAAAAATATTATTTTTTATGCTTATAGGGCTTTCTTTTGTTTTTTTTCCTTTGCTTGTGTTATGGACTGAATTGGCCTTGTTTTTCTTTTGGTGTTGGTTGTTTTTCCTTTGCTTGGATTCTGGACTGAATTGGTGTTGGTTATGTTGAATTGAAATATATTAATATTTGTCTTTTAGTTTTATAGTTCTGTTTTTAGTTTTCATATTTAACTTCAATTTTGTAGGTTGGATCTTTTAACCATAATTATAAAAAAAAAAAAAAATATCGACATACCACAACCGTACCTGTACCCTACTTTTTTGGGGTTTTGCCGTATCGGCATACCCGTACCCGTACTCGTACTCGTACCCGCACCCGTGCTTCTTAGATTGCAAACTTCCCTTTTATTGCCACACGTACTCTTTTAATTGGCTGACCCTGTCTCTTTGTAATCTGCCATGTGTCACTTTTATATTGGAAGTTTTGAATATGCCGCCAACCGTTAGTTTTTTTTTTTCTCAGTATAGCATTCGCAAATCTAATTGTATTGATTTAATTTTAATTTTAATTTTATGTCAATTAAGTTTAATTGATTACATTTCTTTAGAAATTATACTAAAACCTAATGACGTAATCGGGTGTTTGGTGTAGGTTAAATAAACTGCTTATAACTTATTTTAATTTGAGAGTCAGTGACATAATGGTGGTTTGTTGATGGGGGAGATGGGTCACGATAAGGAAAGGTTGGGGCTTGGCAGCCGAAAATGGAGGTGGTGATGACAGTGGCAACCATAGGTAGGAGTTAGGGGTGGGGTGGGTCGATAGTAGGGTTTGAAAGGTTAGGATTATAAAAATAGTTATATGTTTGGGATTATGATAGATTTTAGGATGAAGTATCAATAAATCCCAAATAGTGATCTTATGAACTGTTTGATCATTTCTTTTTTCTTACTAACCCAAAGGTCCCAAAATGTGGGGTTTCTCATAATATTGAAATTATCAAACGTAACACTTCAAAAAAAACTCCTTATTAGATTTTTTTCAAACATAACACTCAAAAAACGTAACACTTTAATGTAACACAATAAAAAACTTCTTAGTGTACTTTTTCTAAATGTAACACTCCAATTAACAAAACACACAAAAACTCATTGGTATACTTTTTTCCAAATGTAACACTCCAATGTGACATACTAAAAAGTTTCTTAGTGTACTTTTTTTAACATAACATTAAAAAAAATAAAAAAAAATAAAAAAAAACTCCTTACTATACTTTTTCCAAGCGTAATTGTTGGCCATATATTTTGTATCAGCCAATCACTGCTTGACACGTGGTCCATTAGGGGCAACTTAAGGAATTAGTAAAGGTCTCCAATTATCAAAGGGCATGTGGCAAATTATATCAATGATAATGGATCTGCGAAGTACTAGAACAATCGAAAGGAGCTAGGTGACGTGACTTAACTGTTCTTGAAGATTTAAATCCAAAATTAGGAGGGAAACCCAACTGCAAGAAATGGCTTAAGTAGAGGCAAAATGCTCGAAGCCATGATTATGGAGGTTGCTTCGATAGTTATCATTCACTTCGATAGTTATTAGCTACTTCGACGGTTATTACTAGGGCCTATATATAAATAGATGAAAAAGCTGATAGTGGAGACACTAGAACCAAATCCATAAACCATTTTATTTAGTTTATATTTTTTCCAGTTCTTTACATTCCAGTCGTTCATTGTCCCGCATTGTATTTCAGTTTCTTAGAAGTAGTTCTAAGTTAGTTTGTTCATGTTGTAATCCCCTTCGAGGCTATAGAAATGCGAAGATACATTTGTAAACATTTACTTAATGAAAGTTATTTTTTGACACTATTCTCTCCCTTATTCTTTTACTTTTGTGTTTATTTCTTATAAATTTTCTCCTAAAACAAGTCGTTAGTAAAAGCCTTCTTCATTAAGGCTAAAAGAATTTCGAAGCAATTGTTTGATTAATTAGTTGGCATTTATTATTTATGTAAGGACTTATTGATCTTTGTTGGCACGCTCTAATTACTTTTTTAACTTTCGAAAGCCAAAAAAGCCAACAGTAATACTCCAATATAACATACTTAAAAGCTCATTAGTGTACTTTTCTTAAACGTAATAATGTAACATTAAAAAAAAAAAAACTCCTTAATATACTTTTTCTAAACGTAACACTCCAATATAATATATTAAAAAACTCTTTAGTACACTTTTCTCAAGTAATAACGTAACATTTCAAAAAAAACTCTTTAATGTATTTTTTTCCCCAAATGTAACAACATAATATTTCAAAAAAACTCTTTAGCGTATTGTTTTCAAACGTAACACAATAACGTAATATTAAAAAAAAAAAAACTCTTTAGTGTACTTTTTATAAACATAGCACTCCATTATAACATATTTAAAAACTCTTCGGTGTATTTTTCTCAAGTAATAACGTAACATTTAAAAAAAGCTCCTAAATGTATTTTTCTAAATATAACGATGCAACATTCTAAAAAAACTCTTTAGTGTATTGTTTCCAAACGTAATACTCCAATGTAATACCAAAAAATAACACTAATAGAAATGTAAATTTCAACTTTAGACAACCAACACTTCAGCCACCAATTACTCTAAAAAGAATCTTCCACATGTCACATTTCCATTCACATCTCAAAAATGAACCAGAAAATTAGAAAAATGAATCACAAAAGGGTATCAACTTAAACTCAAATGACACTAATAAATAAAATAAATACAACTTTCCAAAATAATAAGGACTAATTGATTCATAAGAAAACTTTGAGGACTAAATGGATCAATGTTTCCCTATATGAGATTTATGGATAAATTTTCTTAGATTTTATAAGGGGATATAATAGAAAATGGAGTGTAAGGAAATGTTTTTGTAGTGTAAATAGAGTTACTCCATTTGAAATAGTTCATTTTTTTTTTTTTGGGGGGGGGGATAATCTATTTTATTTTTGATTTTTATCTAATTCTAAAATGAATTTTATCAATTAAATTAAATTTACACTACAAAAACTTAATGAGTAAAATTAGTCAAATAAAATAATAGAAAGAAAATTATTAAAAAAAACTAACCTTAATATTTGTTAACAAAATATCATATCAATAGAGTATTGTTAGAAATGCACAAATTGAATATTTAAATTTATTCACAGTGATATGATAAGAGAGATAGAATTTATGCATTTAAATATATAACAAATCAAAAGTTAAAATGTATTTTATCACATTATTATAGATTAAATTATGTTTTTTTTATTTTTTGTTGTGGAATGTTAAACATTTTGGGTTGTCAATACGTATAAATTACAATATGAACACACATTCCTATAATATTGCCACGTTGCAATAAGACTCTGGCAATGGCCCATTCTGTATGCTGTGTGACTGTTACTATTATTAATGGCACCACCCCATCTATTGATCCATTCATCTCCACAGTCCACACACAAAAACACACGAGTAGTGAGACCAGTCAAACCCAAACAGTGCCTTAATTACACAACACAGAATGAGATCTTTGCATGGAAAATGAGTGAAAATATTAATTAGTACTATCACTAATGATATAGTAATAGATCTTATTTACTGTTATAATATAATTATTTTTTTATTTTTTAAAAAAAATATCACATCATTAATGATCACATTAAAATATTACTTTTAATGATCTCTATCCTTGCTCATTTTTGCATTTACATTATCTCTACTCTTATCATCTTTCCCCATAGAGACCATATAGTTTCCTTTCTTGTCACCATCCATCATCAGTGTACCACACTCTCTATATCAGCAGTATTCAGACCCCTTTCATCATCTTTTCCTCTCCTCCCAGTGTACTTCTCGATTTAATTTCAAACCTCTCTCTCTCTTGGCAGCCTTTTCAACCCACCATGATCCCACTTTTATGGGTTCGTTTGGTTTGTATCTCTGAAAATTTTTTGAGAAATTTTTTTTATAAATAAGTTTTTAAAAGTAATTAAACCAAATAAATTTTTCTAAATTTTTTTTCAAAATTTGTAAATCAAACAAGTTTTTCAAACAAATCTCTCTCACACACACATCAAATCAATCACTTTTTCTAAAACTTTCTCTCAAACTAATTTTCCAAAACATCTTTTAAAAAAACCAAACCAAACAATTTTTCATACTTTTTATCTCTAAAACACATCTCTCAAACACAAACCAAACATACCCTATGGTTCTAGACTCCGGTTTTGTGCCAAACACCTCGACCGAGATGATGTCTGGTTTTTTGGAGCAGGAAATGATCAACAATAAAACCACTTGTTTTTCACCACTTCACAACAGTGGCTCTTGTTTGACTGGAAATCACTACTATACAGAGTCTTCTTCATCCATGGTGGCTGTGGCTGAGCTTTTAAGAAATGGTGGTGTTGGTGGTCAGCCCACTCAGGTGGTGGTGACCCATTTGGAGAAGAAGAGGAAAGCCATGGGTTCCAAGGTAGATTAAAGCAAACTTACCCAGAATTATTAACGTTAAATTCTGATAAGTACTTAACACTAAATATTCGATTGCATTTCTTGTAATTTTTTCCCACATCATAGTCAAACTGCAGCAATCGTGAATGTAGTTTTATTATGTGATGAACCACACAAATTTGTATTATTGTGTACTTGATTTTCGCTCTCACTTTATTTCTATTTGTATTTTGTGTTTCACCGAAACCACCATTCAGTTCAAAATCAAGGACATTTCATCTTTCAAGCCATCTCATTTTTTTTTTTATTTGAATATTAATTATTGAACTAAAATTAATTGTTCGGATGTCAAGTACCGAATTGAGTTTTCATTCGATAATCATATTCAAATTATAAGTTTTTGTTCGTTAGTCTGTATCTGAATAAAAAAAAATCGTGTGAACAGAGACGGAGGTAAAAGTAGAGCATTGTGATCTTACTCATCAATTGTGTGCTTATAATTGTTAGGTGGATGGAGAAGGTAAATGCAAGAAAGAAAAGAAGTGCAGTGATGATGGTATGTCCAAAAATGGAGAAGAGAAGAAGATCAAAGCTGAGAGGAAGAACAAGAAGAAGAAGAAGGCCCCTCATGAGCCTCCAATTGGTGGTTATGTTCATGTGAGAGCAAAAAGGGGTCAAGCTACAGACAGTCACAGCCTTGCGGAAAGGGTAAATCAAGGGTTTGTTTGGTTGTGTTTTCCTTTTTCAAAAAACATATATATTAATACTTTTCATAGGCTTGTTAAGCACAGTTTATGAGGTGATTATATATATATATATATTTCAAATTTGGATGCAACATTGTTAAAAATGTCTTAAATTATTAAAAAGTTGAGAGAGAAATGCTTTTAAGTTATGTGTTTAAATCATTATTTTTAATTTGTAATATCTACATCAACCTAGCCATATCAATAAACTCAAATTGTCTCAAGCTTTCAACTTATTCCTTAGTTAATTAATTGTGTTTTTGTTTTCTTCTTCTTTCAGGTCAGAAGAGAGAAAATTAGTGAGAGAATGAGGTTGTTGCAGTCTCTTGTTCCTGGTTGCGATAAGGTAAAGTTAACCTTTCGAGTTTGTGAAACTTTCCCACTTAATAAAAACTAAATCCTTATTTATTTTTTTGTTATAAAGAAAAAAAATTGACAGATAAATTTATTTAATTGTGATGACTACAGAAGACTGGCAAAGCTCTTATACTGGAAGAAATAATTAACTACGTCCAGTGCCTACAGAATCAAGTTCAGGTAAAGCTTAAAAACAGCTTCCACACAATTTTGTACCATTAAATATATTTTTTTGGGTCCTAGGACATATATGTACAACTTGTTTAGTCCTAAATACTTGTTTTCAATCCCATATTCTCAGTTCCTCGTGATGAAACTTGCTGATCTATATCCCATGTTCAATTATTTAGTCACAAATACCCCTGCATCAGAGGTACCCCCTTCACTCTCTTGTTTGTTTTGCTTTTTCATATTTTCATTGGGTAATTACTGGATGGTCCCGGGCCACCTTGCCTTCCAATTTTTTTATGCGACCAATCATACATAGTTACACCAAAAGTCAAGGTGGCAAATGGGGGTTGGGTGGGTCTAAATGAGTTATGCATTAAAACAATTTAATCCATACTCACTCATTTATTGAAAGAGTTTAAACATGCTGGGTTGAATTGGTACGGATTGGACAAATCAACCTAACCAATACCTTGACTTTGTTAAACTCTTTTTTTGAGTGGTGGTGTCGGAGCTTCCTTGCTTTGTAAATTGTTTTTTGAAAAATGTTTTGGACCTCTAAATTAAGAGCTTTAATTTGTTTTTTTCTCCATTATGATTTGTCCTTTTCTTTTTTTGTTTTTTTTGTTTTTTTTTTTTTTGGTTTTATTCCCTGCCAGCTGTGTAAACCTCAATTTGGAACTCTACACTTAGTGGTCTGTATCACGGCCATTGTTTTTTATTCAAACCCAATCAGAGCTATGTCTTACAACTCATTTATACACTGGTTTTGCATTTAAAAAGATTTCAAATGGTTAAAATTAGATAAGTTTGACAGCTCAAGCCAACATGGTGGTGCCGGACTACTAATCCTTTTCCTTATGTTCATTGAAGCTAAATTCTTTTTCTGTCAATTTTTTTTTTTTTTTTTTTCACCAAATGACAGAACTTTGGTAACTTGGAACCCCCAATGCAATCTGTGACACAATCTGATTCCATGGAGCTTGTAACTGCCCCGATTTCAACTTCCTTTCTACATCAACAAGACCAGAGTTCCATTTTTTTAACTCAGGTTAGTATTCTTTCCTTGCATTGTTGTAGCTGTTGAATATTCTACATCAACATCATGCTTTGATTCTGAGACATTTCTGTTGTTTTTTAATGCCAGAGACCTCTAATTTAGAGGCTCTAACACCTCTAACACCTCTAATTTAGAGGCTCTAACAGACACAACATTGACAGTGACAATGGGTGGGACCCATTGCCACATCATTAGTGGCACCTCTAATTAAAGGTCCCAAATATTTTTGTTTTTAATGTTACTATACGATACGTACTCTCTCACACTAAATGCAAAACACATTATGACCAATTTCCTAAATTGGATAACAATTTAATGCATCTTTCCTAGGATGATGGAGATCATCTACTGGGGGACATGGGTGATCAAACACATGAGCTTTATGGACACAATAACTTGTGTTCTTTCGAGCAGCAAATTACAAGGGAGTACCTACAAACTGGTATGCAAGTCTTCTTCTTCTTCTTCATCTTTTTTTTTTTTCAAAACTATGCCATATTTGTTGCTTTGTGGTACATTATTAGTCAATCAAATTACAAGTCTATTTGACCCACCTTCTAACAAACTAAAAGTTGATAATCAAAATGTGGAAGTGAAAAATACCTCAATCAAATTTTTTTTTCTTTTTTCTCTCAACTTATTTAAATTAAGGAAAATAATATATAAGCTCACTTTATAAACCTAGTGATGTGTAAATAAAATGATTAATTGATAATTAAATAATAAATGAGAGATATCATTGGGTCTAAAAAGTTAATCTAATTTTTAGACTTGAATAACAATATTCTTAAATTATTTTTGCCTCATAATATGTAAGTAGAAGTTGCATTAAATATTTCAACACATTCTTAAAATAAAAAAAATAAAAAAAAAAGGTTATAAGAAGCTCCATGAGCTGCATCAAAGAGTCCCTATTTTGAAAACAACAATGATTGAGACTTCCTTTTTTTGAGACTCTCACAATCTCTTTTAGATTTCAACCATTTCTTTTGGATTTCAACCATTGATGGTGTGAATCTCACATACATAAGTGGGTCTCACATATACATAAGTGGGTCCTACACATATATCAATAGTTGAAATTCAAAAGGGGTTGTGGGGTTCCCAATAAAAGGGGGTCCCAAACATTTTTGTTTTGAAAAAGAACAAAAGGATACTCAACAATGTCTTCAACCTAGCTTTGATTTACAAATGAGAAATGCTATATGGTGTGCACCCCGTTAAGGATGCATATATCATATGCATGCTACTATAAAATTTGTAATTTTATGATAAAATTTCGTAACATCAGCTATAAAATGTATAATCTCATCACAAATTAACATAATAAAAAATGTCATAATCAAGTCATAAACTTTTACAAATTAACAATAAAATTTTACACATTTTATTACGTTAATTTGTAGTGAGGTTACATATTTTATTGTTGATATTACAAAATTTAGTGATAAAATTACACGTTTTTGTAACTGGATACATATGGTATTCACCCTCTAAATAAGTGCGCACACAGGATTTCCCTCTCTCTCTCTCTCTCTCTCTCTCTCTCTCTATATATATATATATGAATTTAGTGTGTTGTAATTATCTATTGCAGGCAACAATCGCAAGCCTGTGCCCCGTAGGTGAAGGGATCTTTGGGAAATAATAATGGGGAAAGAAAGTAGAGACGATGAACAGAAAGCGGAGGCATTGCTGCGTGGCATTGCTGCTTGAAAATCTAACGCACCATCTATATATTTTTCTGGTTCCTTTCAAATTGTAGATTAGCTTTGATATTTGATGTAGCAAACGTATTATGTTTTCTTTTCCATGATTATTTAGAATCAAATAGATTAGTTAAAACGATTTAAAAAAATTAACACCGTTTGTCAACAACCAAGATAGAGTTCTGTATTTGTATCTCATACAAATACTTGCTCTCAAGAAAATTGTTTATAATTTTACTTTTAATATAAATTTAAACTTGCAGCAAAATGAATAAATAATATATTGCACGACCCAAACCCGCCCTATAGGTTTAGCGTCGTAACCGGCTAGTAATCCGTAATTACCGAAGGCCTGTTTAACAATAATGATAATAATACAATATAAAGGGACTGGTGGAAGCCAATAAATAATAATATACATCATCCAACGAGCTGTGAGGACCTGAATGAAAATAAACTTTTATATACATAGTTATATACACAAACACTTATGTCCATAAAACTCATATATATAAGACAAAACACAATGTAGGGAATTAAATCTCATTATCGAAAACAGTATTAAGAAAAGTTATAAAACATTCATTTCACTTGACTAATATCAAACGGGTGAATTTGAACCACCCAAAAAGTCTTGACACATGTTGGTTTGAAACCTCGCGATGAGGCACAATAGCTGGCTTCACAAAACAAGGGTTCGGGTCAATGCCACTAGTTTTGATTTAGTGCTCGATCACCTAAATATATATAATAAACAGTGAGTTAGAATTTAGTGAATACCAACTGCGTAAAAAAGTTAAGAATGATGTCCTTACAATATTTGAAACAATCAATTATTAATAGAACATTTTCAATCAATATCATTTGTCAATCAATCGTTTAATTCAATCAATTCATGTTCATATAGGTCATACGTGGTATATCTAATAGCAACAATACAATAGGTCTTAAAGACCGAACAATCAATTGATGACCATCAAACAATAGACAATGGTTCCAAGAATCAGAACTGACAGAGATCTTTGTATTAATAACAATAATAATATACTATGGATGCCACGAATACAGTTCAGAAATTAGGATCATCATTCATTCTATAAAAAAGTATCATTTCAGAAAATAATATAATTTATCAATTAGAAAATAAATATGATTGAACATATCTTTACAATAATGCTACTCACAGTAGGCTCCTTGGTACACGTACTAATGATTTGGCGTCCGATCTAAACAAATAAAGTCAAGCACAACATAATTACAATCACACTCTTACAATTCTATTCAATTCAATCATTCGATATTGTAGACGTCCCCGAACGCCTCGGGAGGGACGAGTCCCCCGTTCCGTTCGATATTGGGCTCACCACAGTTTAGGACTCTAAAATTGTCACGGTTCTAAATCTGAACCAAAGAGTCCAAATCCGGCAAATCGTTTTGAGAAAACAGATTTTGAAAGAAGTGCCAAACATGGACTGCTTTGCCAGATACAGAGTCGCCACCTAAATATTTTATTTTGGGAAAATGAAATTTAGGAAACCCTGACTCGTTTGCCTAAGCCACGTGTCTGTCATCACCAAAGTTGCCTCGGCTCGGGAACTTAGGTACGATTGGGAAGGTCACTTCGTGAGCACCCCCGCTCGCCCGATCAAAGATCGGCCTCTACTAACCATGATACCAAGTTTTTGAAAACATTGTGTGTTCTTATTCCGGTTATTAGCCTAGATTTACTATGTGATGCGCACAGCATACAAGTATAGACTGGATCGCCTGAATTGGAACAAGACATTTCATGTTATTTGTTTGAAAATGATTTGATGGTGCTACCGCAAGTAGGCTAAGACGTGGATTTGCCACCCTTGGTGGGCTTAGAAAAACATGATTTTGCTACTATCTAGTGGGCTTAAAACACACATTTGATGAATTGTTCTAATTCAAATAACCCAACCTTCACCACAGGCATTCAGGCATTATATCACATAAGCATATAGCCTCATGGTAAGCATGCTATTCATGGCAGTCACTCACACGCATGCAAGGATGCTAAAGCATAAAACTTACCGAGTACTCCAAGCCAAAACAGAAGCTAATTAGAAATCCATGCATAATCCTAATTATACGGAAATGCCTAATGCAACACATGCAAAAATGCAACTATAGCAGGCTCGGCTATTCTAAACATGGCATATGAAATGCTACAGCTAACATGTATTCAACTTGGAATTGAAAATACAATGCAGTTAGTATGATGCGCCGAACCCGGTGCATGCAAAACAGATGAATGAATGCAAACATGCTATCATACTGTATGCTAATGAAACATGCCCTAATTTAACCATCATAAGCGGGTAAATAAAAGGGAGAATGACGTGGGGTTGGAAGACATACATCACACACACGCACACTTATTATAACATTGCCCTCGCGCAGAGGGTCCGAATAAAATAATATACGGTCCCAAAAAATAGTACAGTCCAAATAAATAAAACAGTCCAAATATGTACAGAATCCAAATTAAATAACAAATTTAACTAGAAAGCATTAAATTGGCATGCAAGCCAGGGACTGCCTCGACTCTGCTTCGGATAATGAATGATGCATGCTCGAGTTGCCTTGTGCGGAGAATCCCTCGCGATGCCTGGTTTGCCTCTGTTTGTAATTGTTCTTGGAATGCGGTGCCAAGCTCCGGAAGGCTGCCGATTTCTGATTTGCTGCAACAGAGAGCAACAAAGGGGCATGGCAAGGTATTTTCACATATGTATGCATGACTACTCTTCAGGAGTGTAGTCCTCGATCCTCGTGTCACCAATCACGCATATCGATGCATGATGGCCGAGGAGTCGATTTGCACGACTTGATATGAAATGAATGCACATATAAACACAACAAGACCTAAACTCCATCATGGATAATCCGGAGTGTCGGTGACTGGAATTGAGACACATTCCGTCACTCGAAGTACGAAACGTCCCTCGTTTCTCGTGCTCGGGCTAACTCCTATCCAAGCACAATGCAATATGCATGACATGCATGAATGCAACTAATATACAACCTAGCATGCACAATGCTATGAAATGCATACACCAAT